TCCTTGTGACATATTAAGTTTTTCATCGCTAGGCATTTTCCATTACTTTTATCGAAAATCTTAAATTTCGCATTTATTCTGGTCATTCAACTGCCATTGTTTGTCCTAGCGGTCTGGTGACAGAGAGGAGAGTAAAATATTGAAATCTTTATAAAAATAATTTTTGGTATTTTCACAGCTGCTTGTTGATAAATATGAGAAATATATAAAAGTATGCCAGATGTGAAAATATGTTGATATATTCAGAATATTTGTAGAAATATTATTACTTTTGGTGTTTTTAAATAAGTTTAATTTTGAGCAGTTCTATCAAGTTTTAGGTCAATCTGTCAAACCTTCAGGGGATGAGGAAATTGTCTGTGCATTGCAATGTCCAGTACAAGCAATTTTCACATTGTAAAAGGGTTGCTTTTTACGGTGATTAGGCATTGACAGGGAGGATACCTTCTTGATATGTCTAGAAATAACATGTAAATCTGGTAAAACAAAAAGAATGAAATGATCCTTAACTTCCTTTGAGTCCTATAATATTGGTTACTTTTGATAACGTGCACACTGGCTGGAGTGAATGAGCTGGGTTTTACTTAAGAATTTTTATGCAATACCATGCTAGGGTGTAGCCAGGTGGGGTTACCACCCAAAAAAGCAGACACTGGACCTGTATGGGTTCTTCAGGATACATTGTGATAATGGTCCTGTGTTATACCCATTGTAAATCACTGTCAACCATTGGTCTTAAATGGGTTCTTCAGGATACATTGTGATAATGGTCTTGTGTTATACCCATTGTAAATCACTGTCAACCATTGGTCTTATATGGGTTCTTCAGGATACATTGTGATCCTGGTCCTGTGTTATACCCATTGTAAATCACTGTCAACCATTGGTCTTATATGGGTTCTTCAGGATACATTGTGATCCTGGTCCTGTGTTATACCCATTGTAAATCACTGTCAACTATTGGTCTTATATGGGTTCTTCAGGATACATTGTGATAATGGTCCTGTGTTATACCCATTGTAAATCACTGTCAACTATTGGTCTTATATGGGTTCTTCAGGATACATTGTGATAATGGCCCTGTGTTATACCCATTGTAAATCACTGTCAACCATTGGTCTTATACTTAAAGGACCTGTATGGGTTCTTCAGGATACATTGTGATCCTGGTCCTGTGTTATACCCATTGTAAATCACTGTCAACCATTGGTCATATATGGGTTCTTCAGGATACATTGTGATTCTGGTCCTGTGTTATACCCATTGTAAATCACTGTCAACCATTGGTCTTATATGGGTTCTTCAGGATACATTGTGATAATGGTCCTGTGTTATACCCATTGTAAATCACTGTCAACTATTGGTCTTATATGGGTTCTTCAGGATACATTGTGATAATGGCCCTGTGTTATACCCATTGTAAATCACTGTCAACCATTGGTCTTATACTTAAAGGACCTGTATGGGTTCTTCAGGATACATTGTGATCCTGGTCCTGTGTTATACCCATTGTAAATCACTGTCAACTATTGGTCTTATATGGGTTCTTCAGGATACATTGTGATAATGGTCCTGTGTTATACCCATTGTAAATCACTGTCAACCATTGGTCTTATATGGGTTCTTCAGGATACATTGTGATCCTGGTCCTGTATTATACCCATTGTAAATCACTGTCAACCATTGGTCTTATATGGGTTCTTCAGGATACATTGTGATAATGGTCCTGTGTTATACCCATTGTAAATCACTGTCAACCATTGGTCTTATATGGGTTCTTCAGGATACATTGTGATCCTGGTCCTGTGTTATACCCATTGTAAATCACTGTCAACCATTGGTCTTATATGGGTTCTTCAGGATACATTGTGATCCTGGTCCTGTGTTATACCCATTGTAAATCACTGTCAACTATTGGTCTTATAAAGGACCTGTATGGGTTCTTCAGGATACATTGTGATTATGGTCCTGTGTTATACCCATTGTAAATCACTGTCAACCATTGGTCTTATCTTAAAGGACCTGTATGGGTTCTTCAGGATACATTGTGATTATGGTCCTGTGTTATACCCATTGTAAATCACTGTCAACCATTGGTCTTATATGGGTTCTTCAGGATACATTGTGATAATGGTCCTGTGTTATACCCATTGTAAATCACTGTCAACCATTGGTCTTATATGGGTTCTTCAGGATACATTGTGATCCTGGTCCTGTGTTATACCCATTGTAAATCACTGTCAACCATTGGTCTTATATGGGTTCTTCAGGATACATTGTGATAATGGTCCTGTGTTATACCCATTGTAAATCACTGTCAACCATTGGTCTTATACTTAAAGGACCTGTATGGGTTCTTCAGGATACATTGTGATCCTGGTCTTCTGTTATACCCTTTGCAAATTATTGTAAATATGTTCAAATATGAACCTGACAAAACATGTCACCATACAGTTGCTTTATGTAATACTGCAGGATTGCTGGATAATCAATTCTCTCTGTCTAGAATTGTTGTTGTTGTGTAAGTATACAGATACTGGATGATGGTCATTGAAAAGAGTGTAGTGCAAGAAACTCTTCAGTTCCTGAAATGAGAGGATTGATCTGTTTTACAGATATGAAAATATGGTCCTCTATGAATATATATAGTTCATTGATTTATTATATTTTCTTTTGTTGCTGAAGAATAAAATGGACATTTTTTTCCTGTTTCCAATTTAGATTGTTTGTGTTAGCTACTTCTCCACAGCTTTCATTTACATTATGATAGTGAGTTTTTCACATTATGAGACATTATAGTCATTTCTAGTTTTGGGGTGATTAGAACACTGAGTGAGTAAGTGAGTGAGAATGGTTTTACGCCGCTTTTAGCAATATTCCAGCAATATCACGGTGTGGAACACCAGAAATGGGCTTCACACATTGTACACATATGGGAATTGAACCCGGGTCCTCGGCGTGAACGCTTTAACCAGTAGGTTATTCTTGAGTATAACAAGGAGTGTCAGGGTAGCAGTTCCTTTGTTATAGATACACAATGTTTCAGGACTACCTCCTTTAGGTACCTTTAGGTAAATCATAGGGCTGTGTTTCTATACATATAAGTGAAGCAAGTTGTAATATGGTGGACATCAGTATTTGACGAGAACTGATGGATATGACAATTGGTCTCAGGTAATGTGTTTATACAATAGATAAAATCAGCTGATGAGTAGTATTTCACATTAAGTCTCTTTCAAAGAAGAAAACTATGGTAATGTATAGTTTCCTGTGCTTTGGAAGATGCATATTTTCAAGCAGTTATGAGAGTGTGTATTCCACAGCACCACTACCGCACATCTCTCCATAGCTAGAATTATCAGCGGCACAAACAATGCTCCTGTCAAACGTGGTCTGATAGATCCTGCATCCACACAATCCATTGTTGTTATGTCACTGGCAGCAGCCCTAAGACAATCAGTGATGAATTATTTATGTAATGAAATACCTTAATCGTCAATTTCAGTGACATGTACATTATATCACAGATGAGAGGCCATTATGAAGAAATCCCTTAACGTTGATTGCATGCCAATTTCCTCTCTGTCATCAGCCATGATGATGTGTCAAAATCTTTCAGGAAAAATTGCATTTGTTGGGTTTCATTGTTCTCATGTCCTTAAAAATTCATTTATTCATTAAGATTAGTAATTAAGTTAATTGATACATGAATAATATTTGGGAATGCATATATGTGCGATTTAATCAATCTGGCATGAACAATTTGTTGAAACTTCATAGAATTAGATTTTAATGAGCATTAAAGGACCAGAACTGCTGTGAAGAGTGAAATTTATTCGTAACACCTTTGACGTCCCCTATCCACGGGGAGTAGAATCACAGAGCAGACTCTTTGAAAATGGCACCAAGCATATAACCGAACTGTGTTTGACCATTTAGTATATCCTTTGTGTATATTGATGTGTGGAGGCTGTATGTGTAAATCATTTCTTTTGTCTCCACATTATTTAATAGGGCTGTGTAGTGGCAAATAAATTGTATTGAAATCTATATTGCTGCTCCGAGGTACCGGTATTGTGATATGAATTGCGATATATTGGGAACTTAAGTGTTTGATAGTGAGTGACACTAACTGTGCATGTCAGTCCTATTTATAAGTCTCCAAACATATATGTTATGGTTCTGATAACAGCAATTGCAAAATTAGGTTGCATAGTCAGAGATTCTATTTTTTTTAACACAATTAACAGTACTACAGTATGCTGTTTTGTCATTGAATAATGAAGGAAAGCATCTGTTGTGAATGAAAGTCTGTGTAGATTTTAATTTAAAACATAAAGATAATCACAAAAACTTCATACATGTCCTTTACCCAATATACTGGTTCTCAGGAAAAAATATTGCGATATGTATCATTTAGAAAAGCCTATTGCAATATATAGCAGTATACCAGAAATACTGGGCTGTCCTATTATTTAATATGTCAGTGAAATTGGAATGACTTGAAAATGGTGGACAGGTGGTAGGTAGGTGTAGGTGTGTGTGTGTAGGTGTGTGTGTGTGTAGGTGCGTGCGTGCGTGCGTGCATGCGTGCATGCATGCATGCATGTGTGTTCATCTCCCTGATCCCATTATTCACCAACCACACAGGTTCAGTATTGTGTGATGTTTTGTAGTTGTATATTAAGTGTTGTTACCGCTCTACAACTGTGATAAGCATATAGTAAAATCATTGGCAATACAAAAATCTCAGCCTAGGGCCAAATATCACAAAATGATTTTGTAGCTACAAAGAGTATTCTTCCCAGACTTAACACTGGCTTACGGTCGCTACCTTAGATAGTGTATATAAGACAGGTTCCAGATTAACAAGGTGTTAATGCAGTGTGTAATCCTATCTCCAGCAGCAGGAACAACAGATTTATGGTGGATGTAGTTCTAATGTCAGCACACATTAGGCAGCTATTTGTGTAGCTTACAAAGGGATTGTTTGACTTCAGGTCGTCAGCCCCTATGTTGATGCTATCCGAGCTGACAGCTTTGACTATGTCCCTGCTCCGGACAATCTCCACGGAGGATTCACTTGGAGGATGGAGTTCATCTGGAAGGGAATACCTCCCAAGGTCATGGACTCAAGGTCATCGCCAGCTCAGCCAATCAGGTTTGGTTTACCTTAAATGTATTCTTGGATAAAAATTGTTGTTTTGTGGGTGGATGTTTTAGTCATTATTGATAATAACTTAGCCAAGTGTTTACAAAATATGAACTTTTAGTTGATAGGTTTACATGCATCCCTTACCAGTTCAGTAAAGTGTTGTGGTGGGCCTGATGTGATGTGAGCCCTATATTTGTGAACTGTATCTGTACTTAGGAGTGAGACCCGTGAAGGTCCGGGTTAGAATATTGGCCTTCAGTAACCCATGCTTGTTGTAAGAGGTGACGAATGGGATCGGGTGGTCAGGTTCGCTGACTTGGTTGACACATGTCATCGGTTCCCAATTGCGCAGATCGATGCTCATGCTGTTGATCACTGGATTGTCTGGTCCAGACTCAAATATTTACAGACCGCCGCCATATAGCTGGAATATTGAGCGTAAATTATAGGGCATGTGTGGCCCTAAAACTAGCAATATTCCAGCAATATCACGGCTGGGGACACCAGAAATAGGCTTCACGCATTGTACCCATGTGGGGAATTGAATGTCTACTTAGGAGATGTACTGAACGTGTATGGGTGTGCATGCCAAGAGTTAGGTTATTGGTGCGTGCATGAATCTGGGCATGTGCTTCCCACTCTGTGCCCATGTGGAGTTCTGAACTTTGGTCTTTCTGGTAATGAGTCAGATCATTTACTTTGGTTACTCCACCAGTGCTTCAGTGCTTTCATCCTCAAAGTTAACTGGAGTATACTTCCTCAGTATTATGTTCCTTGATTACCATCGCCCTACACCCAGGACATTTGCTTGTTTATGCAAGCTCCTAGTTCCTAGGAATTGTCTTGCACTTACTCAAATCTCTCTCATGCCATGTGGACCTAAATTTAACAGAAAAGGACCTAGCTGTTTATTCCTTGATAAAAAGATCTCTATGTCATGGTGAGGCTTGTGTCTCGCAGCATGTCATAATATCCCAATAGTGTGGGACATTGCTCATTACATTAACCACTGGTTTTTCTTGCATAGATACCATAAATTTGAGGCCATCATTCTGAGTGTAAAAGCTGGAATAAATTTGAAGGACCAGATGTCATTTTTTTTAAAGGACTTAACTGTTAATTTTTTGACATGTTTTGGGCAGCATATAATTTCATTTTGTTTAAGAGTACAGAGAAATATGAAAAAAAAACATCAAGTGGGTCATTACATTGTTAATTTGTCATCCAAAAGACATGAAATCATGTTGTGAACGAAACGGTTGTTGGTATTACCCTAGAGGCATTATAATGGTTTACTGTATGTGAGAAGTCACTTACTTGAACACATTAATTCAATTAGGACAGAAATCTAACTCTTAGCATGTAATATGAAGGTTCCTGCTCAGTGCAGTATTAAACATGTCTTGTTCCAGAACCCCGACCATCAGTGGAGGACTGTTTGCCATCAACCAGGAATACTTCTTCAAGATCGGTTCCTATGACGAGGGACTGGACATCTGGGGTGGAGAGAACTTAGAACTAGCTTTCCGGGTATGTCACTGTTGATGCCATTCGTGATTCCATAGACTATAGCTAGCAACTAGTCTCTGAAATAAACATATTTTACAGAAAAAAAAGTTCATAAGGCCAGACCAATTTTATTGCTTGTTTTATGGATCCACCGGTTGTATTTTGTCAAGAATAAGAAAAACAATATAAATTAATTTTCCCCTCTCAAAAAGTAAAATCCTAATGTTTTTATTGACCCAAAATGTAAACTTAAAAGAAAATCTTTTTAAAGTTGTTTTTTTCCCATATACACTTCATTAATTGCCAAAAGTAAAATACTTTTCTAGATTCTAGATTTGCATGGGCTTCCTTGGATATATTTGTTTCAGGGTCTGTATGACAGACTAGTGATTCAGTTGTACCTTAACCTGTACAGGCAGGACATGAATATTTTGATAAACACAGATAAAAGACTGCAGTTTAGGTTTAAAATGAAACAAACATAAATATAAGCTCGAAAATGTTTGAGTTTGTATATATAATGTGGGTGCTCCAAAAATGGCACAGAGAAACCTAATATTGCATCTGATCCCATATCTTAAAGAAAACACACACTGGTTGACTGCCTGATGAATGTGGTTCTGTGATGTGTCCTGATTTACAAGCCCTCTGTCTCACCACCAACAGACTCTGCAACACCTGCACATCAGTCTCTCCACATACATGTAGGTCAGTCGTAGAGAAAGAGTTTAATTTGAACAAGGTGATCCTCACAAATACTGTTTCCAATTATAAGTTGTACCTACACCAGTGAACGACAGTGGGGAAATCCCTTGAGCTGTACACCAGACATTGCTGTGTTCTGTTGATGCGGACATGGCGAGGGTACGTCATTAGGGCACCTGCCTTGATCCGGACCTGTCATGGCATCTTAGTCCACACAACAACATAAGGCCACAGACATATGTAATATGACACACATGAACATAGTATGATACACTGCTTCAGAGTAAAAGTACTAGGCCTAGATTTTCGAAGCTCTCTTAGCGATAAGATAGTCGGAAGTGCCATACATTAAGATTAACTTATGGCTATCTTAGCGCTAAGAGAGCTTCGAAAATCTAGGCCCTGGTTTTCATTGACTGTCTCCATCTGGCGATGTGGTCCTGCTGTAGCTCCATCCCAGATGACCAGCCTTGTGTCCAATAACAACCCAGGCCCAGCAACGTCTTCAACCAAATCAATCCGAGGAAATGAATCATAAACACTTATGAAGACATACAAATCTTTTTATAGCTCAAAAAGATTCAGCCCTCCAAATTCCCATTCAGAGACTTGCTGGAACAACAGAGTCAGTGTGTTTTATGTAAAAAACCTAATTGATAGATGTTTGTGTTATTAGAATCAAGGTAACCTTGCACTCCACCAGAATTTTTTTCTCCATCCTGCCTATAATTGATTGCATTTCCATGTTAGTAAGGCTTTTTTTTCAGGGATTAGGGTCAGTCAATTGTGAAATGTTTTTCAAACTGTACAGTTTTTCCCAATCTCTAGAGATCTTTTGATTGATTTGCAAACTTCCTCATCGATCGTGAAGGTTAAAAACAGAGTAAAAACCATGTCAGTGATCGCATCTCCTTGTTCCTGCCTGGCCATGGTTTGTTTCACTGGAGTGGAATGCAACTTGCCTTCTCCTGATACTGATTGACTTACGTGTGGCGTATAATTGGCTACTTGGGTTTTCATGTGAAAATCAGAAAGAACACAAAAGACATTCTTTTACATTCATATTCCTGTCCTCTTTCTTTTAGAAATGTCACGAAACCTGTTCCATGTATTGGTGAGATGGTTCTGGGGAAGTGGACGAGGGATGAATGACACTGATGGGTTTAGCATTTTGAAACTAAAATCAGGACATTCCCTAACTGTGTTTGTCACCGTGTGAGAGCTTGCAACGGCTTTTGTTAACAAACCTTCAAGTTCCTTCACTGCTCCGTGTCAGGTTCTCCACCTCTATTCCGGTCCCATCTGTCCTTGACCTTCAGACTGCATGTCATCACAACTATTGTCATGCAAAGCTTCTGGTGTGTGGTCCTTTGCATCGAGCTCAGGTCACAAATCAGTTGAAGTTAAGCAACGTTGGGCAAGGAGAGTCCTTAGATGGGTGACCGTGCTTGGCAGCTTAACTCCTGAGAGTTTCTAGGACTTCAGTCCTGCCCCTTAGTGAAGCACATGTGATACATGTGGTCTCACCTTAGGCAAACTTGCTTCTGTTCACCCAGCAGAAAATGGGTACCAGGTGGGATAAAGGCATGTGACTATTACCTTCTATCGGCTCACAGGCAGCTTGGGTTATCCGGGGTCAGACTTTGTGATGCGCTGTTTTGAAGAGCTTCGAGTTGGATATCAGGCACCATTGAAATCCATTATATATATTATATATATCCAGCTTCAGTAAGTTGGTGTTAACTACCATTGCATTTGAAGTCAAATTAAGTGATATATTCTGATTGACAGAATCACATGCTTTGCATCAATATGAAACATTACACTCATAATTGATCAGTTTCCAAGATACCATAGATTGAAAATTTGTTCTTGAGATAAATATATCATTGAAAATTGATATCCTTACAGCATTCACTTGTCATATTAAAACAGTTGATGTCTTCACCAAAAATGATAATTAGAATATAAGTATCCACAATGATATGCTAAAGTCTTAATTTGGAGAATCTGTATGTTTAACTCTAATGACATGTTGCGGCCATAAAATTTTCGATTCCCGTGGTGGGATACAAACCACGGACCTTCTGTTCCGAAGTCGGACACCTTGTCCACATGACCAAAGTGGTTAACCCTGTCAACAAGCTGACAAGATAAGGATGTCATTTCTGGGATGAATCCACACCCTGCTACAATATACTCCCCGTGAACAGAAGGCATGTCCCGAGGAGGGTACTGAGACATATTTTGCTCCAAATTTCATATGAACATGCTCAGCCCCAAATTGGGTGCCAATGTAGCGTCTATAACATTTCCCAGTCCCGTGCTGGGATTCGAACCACAGACCTTCTGATCCAAAAGTCAGACACCTTGTCTACATGACCAAAGTGGTTAAATCCTGTCAGCAAGCTGACATGGTAAACATGTCATCTGTGGGATGACTCCACACCCTGCTACAAACACATAATCAGTCAGCTGATGTAATAATAATAAGAGTACTTTTATAGCGCCTCATCCACATCACCCAGGGACATGCTCTAAGCGGTTCTAGTTGATGTGATGTGACACGTGATGTGACACGTAAATTGTTTGAACACACTGAAACATACACTGGTTGAGTCTGGAAATCATCTATGAATCTTTGTGTACATTTCTTTTGCTATCTGCAATATTTTCCACACATTAGTTCTATCAGGCGTTGTTCACACTAAGGATGAAACTCATGAGAATGTATTTTGCCTGTCACCTTCCAACCTTTTTGTACGAGATGTACATCAGCTCCTGAGTGCGTAACGTTTTTTAAGTTTTGAAGTCACATCCCTGTAATAACAGCGAGCGCAAGGGCAAAGGCATGTAGTAAATGTTTTGGAAAGCAAATGTCAGGTTTAGTTACCAAAGTTCATTCTTCACATTTTGAATGTAGCGGCCATTGATGTTTATAATGAAGCTACTGGTGCATTGTGGATCTTCCACTTTCTAGGTAATTTCAATGTTGATATGTTGTATTGTTTATGATCAGATATTTCTGTGAAACTTAGTTGTGAGGTTTAATCATATCAACCCTTACAATGCAAGGAAAGTTGCCTTTTTGTGGTTTAGCCCTGTGTTTTGTTCAAATGGTCATGCTGTTTAGAAGCAGCAAACAAACATGGGAGATACAAGTGTAACTGCTATGCAGAAAAGCTATCATCCTCAGAACTATTGTTGATTATGCATGTCAGTGTCAGATTTGTCCTTTATTAGTTTTCACCTTCCTGTAAGGGTGCATAAAATAAGTGTTTCTCACTCTGTAAGTGTGTATAAAATGTTTCTCAGGCACAGTTTTCTCCAAGATGCAGAACATAATGGGATGTTTCATAAAGTTTCATAAACTGATGACAGTGTAGCCCATTATATTTACCCATGAAAAATCACAATTGGGCTTCTATACAATAGTCAAGTAGTCAAATATATATAACAAAACAGAGTCTGCTGCATATAAGATGGGTATATAAGATAAAAATTATTTTATTTGCAATCTGAATAACCAGTATGGTGGATTTAAACTTCCATGCCGATGCCCGATAGAAGCCTGAATTTTATCGCATTACTGACCCACATCCAGGCACATCCAGGCCTTAATGGAGTATATTGTAAATATGATCTTCAGTTTGGCTTGATGTCATAAAGTTTAAGGCAACTCAATCTAGTTGTTTTCACATGATTAAACTTAGAAGCAATATTCAAACATTGACTAGTGTGTCACGGTCTTTTCATGTATCAGATCATTACAGTGGAATAACCTCATTTGGAATTCTAACTTATTCCGCAGAATGCACTGAGCCAGAAAATGGACCAATAAAGCAGTTTTTGAACAGTTAAGTTTAGATATTGATAGGAAAGATTTATGATTTAGCTATGAATAATATTCTTCTGTATGATGCCTGATCTTACAGATTATTTCACTGGTCAGCCCAGTGCTGTGTCCGCTACCTGGTATAGGCCTGGTGTACTGCCCTTCAATGATTCACAATGGAGACCGTATTTGATATACCCCTGTCATTACAAAATTCTAATAATGGTAAAGGTGACCCTTGGCCGTGACATTTTCAGCAGAATAGTATTTTATGATGTCAAGCACTATATATTGATTGGATAAGTGGAGACCATAGAATACATGTTATTTTGGTAACTTTGTATAGGTCAACTCAAACTCCTTGATTCTTAGCTGTCAGCTGGTGCTACGTTGGATCAGTCCAATACAGATGGTGCTGTTGGATTACAGATAGTGCTACTGTTGGATCAGTCCAATACAGATAGTGCTACTGTTGGATCAGTCCAATACAGATAGTGCTACTGTTGGATCAGTCCAATACAGATAGTGCTACTGTTGGATCAGTCCAATACAGATAGTGCTACTGTTGGATCAGTCCAATACAGATAGTGCTACTGTTGGATCAGTCACATAGATAGTGCTGCTGTTGGATCAGTCACATAGATAGTGGTACTGTTGGATCAGTCACATAGATAGTGCTGCTGTTGGATCAGTCACATAGATAGTGCTGCTGTTGGATCAGTCACATAGATAGTGGTACTGTTGGATCAGTCACATAGATAGTGCTGCTGTTGGATCAGTCACATAGATAGTGCTGCTGTTGGATCAGTCACATAGATAGTGCTGCTGTTGGATCAGTCACATAGATAGTGGTACTGTTGGATCAGTCACATAGATAGTGCTGCTGTTGTATCAGTCACATTCAGATAGTGCTACTGTTGGATCAGTCACATAGATAGTGGTACTGTTGGATCAGTCACATAGATAGTGGTACTGTTGGATCAGTCACATAGATAGTGCTGCTGTTGTATCAGTCACATAGATAGTGGTACTGTTGGATCAGTCACATAGATAGTGGTACTGTTGGATCAGTCACATAGATAGTGCTACTGTTGGATCAGTCACATAGATAGTGGTACTGTTGGATCAGTCACATAGATAGTGGTACTGTTGGATCAGTCACATAGATAGTGCTGCTGTTGTATCAGTCACATAGATAGTGCTACTGTTGGATCAGTCACATAGATAGTGGTACTGTTGGATCAGTCACATAGATAGTGCTACTGTTGGATCAGTCACATAGATAGTGGTACTGCTGTTGGATCAGTCACATAGATAGTGGTACTGTTGGATCAGTCACATAGATAGTGGTACTGTTGGATCAGTCACATAGATAGTGGTACTGTTGGATCCGTCAAATACAGATAGTGCTACTGTTGGATCACCTAAGTACAATGAAGACTCTTTAATCAAATATGTACTCCCAGGTCCATCTCTGAAACTTCTGACCTACTTTCACAGCCTTCCACTCATGTGTTAAACTTCTGAAATAATTTGTTCACCATATTGAAGCTGCACTTTAAAATGAACATTATGCTTTGTGAAAAATTTAAATTTGAAACGGTTTAGATATTTTTTTAAAAGAAGAAATATTACAACATCTTTTTCTCAGAAAGCAGGAGAGCATAAAGATTTTATGGAGTAAAATGTCTATAAGTAGTTCCATGTTTGTTCAAGCGTCATAATCAGCACAGACATCCATCACATCCTTGGCAAATGCATCATATGTTTTTTCAAAGACTACTGAACCAAACATGTTTGAATATAATTCATGACTGTATGACATTATGATAGGTTTTAAGTTTGTTAAATGTATTAAAATTGAAATTTTACTGTTTTACCCAACAAATAAAGGAAAACTATCATTCATATATGTTTTGACATGTTTTCAACTTGTCAAATACGAGACCCAGAGCACTAACAGTTACTTGTAAAGCAACAATGTTGCTGCTTATTAAACCTCCATTTAGTTGCTTGAATAGGGTTTCTTAACTTTAAACACTTTAATATTTCATCTTATGACCTGCCTGCCACTTAAATTGCTCCAACTTCAATTTTTAATATGTTGAAGCTTTCGTAGGAAAAGACCTTTTCACATTCTTTTACACACACCAATCCATTTAAAGCAGGTAAGATAAACAGAGCTGTCTTCAGGGGCAGTGTCTGACAACCTCAAGCCTTACTCGTGTGGGGAAAATAGATAACACTGAATGTAAATATGAAGGTTACTTTTAAATAATTAACCTATCAAAGAATAAGAGTGAAAAATATGAACCTCTTGCCCATCCAAGTTAGTTATGAAAAAGGTCATGAGAAAGGGGAATCATTTTTATATACAGAGGTACAGATAAGCTGCGTATCTGCGTACATTACGCAAATATTTATGTGAAACTCAATTCCTATTAAGTGTATTGCGTACAAGTACGCTTGATTTTTGTGTAAATACTCAATACGTTTTATCTTACAAGCGTACACACAAAAATGTCAAATCATAACTTGCGTACCGGTGCATGGATAGATGAAACAACTAAGGTATATTGAAAGGTTCTTTATCAACACATGAACTTGGCAACTTGCAGTCTTTCTTATCGTTTCTGATATTACAGATGAAATATACATAGCAAACTCATAAATCAAACATTTAAACTTTATTATATATTTACAATTAATGGAAAATGGCAAAATACCCAATTGAGTTTGAGTGAAGTGGGTACAACTTATTTGGTTTCTCAAAGGAAATTAGGATACCCAATTGATATGAACATAAGTGAGTACATAACTCAATGACCTAGAAGGTTATCTGTAGATCTGTATGTATATATTTGTTTATTTACTTTACTTGGTTACAGTTGAATATGATACATGGGTAAAAGCAGTATCATGTATATGGTATTGGGAATATAGTTTATACAATTGAAATACTACATAGTAATACAGAGAATGTGAAAGACTAAAAACAGAATTACAGGACTGTATCTTGAACATTCCATTTTCTGTAAATTGATTCACATTGTTTTTGTTTTTAATCGATTAATTTCTCAATTTCATAAATGTCCTGTAATAATGTTTTGTAAATTGTAAAGCTAGGTTTTTGTCCTTTTATATTCATTAGAAAAATGTGGCACTTTGCAAAATGGGAATATTTGGTTTAAGGGCTTTTGATCAGTTTGTGAAGAATATCAAGAGAAGTTCATCAACTGTGCAAGTAATACTTACATTAAACTTCGGTTTATTAGATTATTTCTTATTGTACCCTTGCTTCAGCTTGTCCACTGGAAAATTTCTTTTGCAATAGTTTGAATAAATTCCTGGAAAAAAGCAAATTCTTTGCAGCTGCCATCATTAGTGTGTTTGAACCACATTCCCTGTTCAAGGTGTCTAAGTGAGTGATGTTTTCACCCAAACAGCATCGCGGCAGGATACATTGTAACTCCTGCTCTGGTGGGGGAGCAACAGTTTCAACCATCATTTTACCCCCACTGAATGGAACAACAGTTGACTTCAGTTGTTTGCCTTTATCAAGCAAGCTTTGCAGCACAACCACTTGCTTGATAAAAGTACCATCGTCACTACTAAAATGTTGTATTGATTTGAAACAATAAAGAATTTTATGTCTAAGTCAGTCCAGTCTTCATTGATGGTAAGGATATTTGTACTGCATCAGTCATTTCAAACAATTGTGAATACAAAATGTGTTACAGTATATACAATGCTAGATGTCGTGATCTGATGAGTTCTTGTCTGAAATTTGTCTTATCAGCAAAATGAAAATGAAATATTTTCAAAATTAGTTGTGAGGCTTGCATGAGAGCAGTAATGTCTTTCTTAGGCTATTTTAGCCTATTTCGTCGCTACTCATGATTGTGGTAGTGCTTTAATACATAACGGATGGTCAAGAATGATTTTACGTGGCAGAATATCTCAGTGGATAATGTAACTGGACAACATCAAAAACAATTATGAAACATTCTAAAATTGTTAAGTTTCAGCTCAATCTGTAGGTGAATTTGACCAAAGTATAAGTATTTTGTCATAATCTAATAAGGTTGTTAGGTCATTACTGTGGAGTAGCCAAACACGGACCTGGAATTTGATCTTGCTCCTGTCTGAGTTATCTCAAACAGCATCCTCTCACACAAAGGTGTAAAAAAGATTATTTCCTAATCTGAAATAGATGCAGCTACTGAAGGTTATTAGTTCCAGGTGATACTTTTCACTAAAAAACTGACATTGAAAAACATGACCATTATCTTCCCCAATATTGTCACAGTGCCACTGAGTGTCTCTATGGTGAATATTAGGCGCTTTAGAATTGAATGACTATTTATTATTATTTTCAGTGGATCAACCACCTGGATGTTTCAGTATAGGTATCTCTACAGGAATGCTGCTGATCCCACAGAAGGATGACACAGGGCAATATGATGATACCTGACACTTTTTGTAAAGTGTTTGCAGATTAAATTTCTACCCGTATTTTGTACCCATGTTTTCCCCTGTTGTAGGTGTGGATGTGTGGTGGCTCCATGGAGATCATTCCGTGTTCCCGGGTGGGGCATGTGTTCAGGAACATCCTGCCTTACAAGTTCCCCTACAGACAGTCGCCGCACCATCCTCCGTAACCTAGGTCGGGTTGGCTGATGTGTGGATGGATGACTTCAAGGAGTATTTCTATGCCGCTGCAGTAAGTTTCAGACAGATTTTAATCCTGTATCAAACATGTCACTGATTCATCCAAGCCTGCTATCTGTATTTAAACTCATCATAACGTGCTCCTGCAGTGGAACATGTGAATCACCAGTAAAATCATGACTAATTTCATCAACAGTAACAGTAGTGGATTGCTACAGGGCTGGAAGAGTTATCTCCCTTGTAAATTTCTTATCAGCAAAACAACAAAATTTGTGAAATATGAAATATTTGTAGTGCCAAATTTGAATAATGCCAGACCATTTACCACATATATAAGTCTCAGAGTGTATATTCATTTTTTTATACAAACAGTTTGTTGCGTACAATTCCAAATCACTGAAAGGAAAACTGGTTGTCATGCTGTACAATGTAAAGCATTCAGTACTTATATTTGGTCAGTTTTACAAGATGCATCCCCATATCATTGAGAACATATAGACTCTATTTCTCAATATATGTTACATTGATGTGTCATTTCAAACAGGTGTCTCATGTGATCCATACAAGAACATATGATCTGACATGTTTAAATATGATCCAATATGTTCAGAACAAGATCTGATATACATTTTTGCATGATACGATTCTTTCTAGGATTTTCCCCGTGACCTTGACCTTGGTGATATTTCTGAGCGGCAGAGTCTCCGACAGAAGTTGAAGTGTCAGTCATTCCAGTGGTACCTGGACAACGTCATACCAGAGATGCTGGTGCCTCCGCAAGAAGCTCAACAGTATGGAGAGGTAAACAAGCCAGACTTCAAGAAATGATGAAAATGGACAGTTTGATCACAAGCTTTTGACTTATAGATTGGTGCAATCATTGTTCTTATCGGTGTGGATCTGATGCTGAGGTTGGAGTAAGTGTGAAACAATACACCAACACTCTGCACTGCCACAGATATCAGCTTCCTTGCATTTTTGGACCCTTCACATCTCTTGACATTTTTTCATTCACCTGAAACACAAGTCATTCAGGTCACAGTTGTTATGTTTTTCTTGTGATGTTTTAAATGTACAGTATTGTGACCACTGTATCATCGTGTTGAAGGCCTAGGTTTGAATGCGTGTATGGGTACAATGTGTGAAGCCCATTTCCATTGTACATTCCTCATATCTCTAAATAATACCAACTATCACAGCATTTCTTAGATAATTAATTAAATTATTTAGTGTTATGAATTATACAATTCAAGTTATATAATCTTCCATAAACTTCGATGCACATGAGGACATGAAAGTTACATGTGAACTTCTCTACTTTTTGTCTGCCCTTTCAAGCAACTTCTTGCTCCTTTATATAATGCAGGTGTCCACAGAATATGTTTCCTTTTATATAAATACAGGCTGTTTACCCATGTGGATTAATGTAGTAGTATGTTGGTCATAGGGTTGTCTATTCATCATGCACAACCTGATTGTGACCTGATGTTGTTGTTTCAGTTCAGGAATCATGCTTCTCTCACCTGTCTCACTGCATCACCAGACCAGACCAGAATGAACCAGACCAAACTGCATCTCACTGGTTGTCTTGGACAATCAGATGCTCAGGTAAGATATATTTTTGTTGTTTGTTTGTTTGTTTGTTGTTTAACGCTGCACTCAGCAGTATTCCAGCTATATGGTGGCGGTCTGTAAATAAGTGTTTCTGGACCAGACAAGCCAGTGATCAACAACATGAGCATCAATCTGCACAATTGAGATACAATGACATGTGTCAACCACCTGATCCTGTTAGTCACCTCTTAGTCTTACACCAAGTATGGGTTACAGAAGACCAATTCTAACCTGGATCTAACGTGCAAGGAAGCACGTAAAGTCACAACAACAAAAATAACAACAATAACATACATGTAATATATATAGTGTAACATATACATTTTGTCACTTACAGCTATTTTATTTGACGGGAGATGGGTACCTGCACCATGGCAACAGGTGTGTGGTTGCCGGGGAGAAGAAGATGGTTGGTCTGGGACCGTGCAGTCACCACACCTGGGAGGCAAATGTACGTACACCCCTGTGAAATCAAGCTCTTCAGTATATGTAATGATTTATCTTGGGTTTCTAAACTAAGTGCAGACATTTTAGTATGAAAAAAGTAATATTTCATCTTAAACTAGTTTTTGTTGTTTTAATTTCATCGATATTTGATCAAAAAAGAAATTCATAGATATATTGGGTCATCAAGTAATACAGCTGCACTGAACAATGATTGTTTCACAGATTATTTATATGTTTGTTTATAAGTCAGAGAGCACTTGGAGGAATGTTATGAAATGAGTTTCTGAAGGTTAGTGTGTTTGTCTGTTACAGAGTCAGCACCTTAGTCTGCGAGGCACTGAACTCTGTCTGACGGCGGAGGATAACGAGTATTTGGTTTTGTCCGAGTGTAACCGTAACAGTGACGCACAGATGTGGGATGTCTCGTATAACTTGAAATGGAGGAGGAAAGCTGGGTGAAATACTCACTTGGTGTATATAACCTCTGTATATTATGTGCATATGGAATGAATGGAACCGAAGAACGGACGGATGATGTGGAAACAATGGATCTCTTTGACAAAGTGAACAGTTCCAATTCCTAAACAATAGCGTGGACAGCTGTGTGGAGTTGTCTACAGATGACGTCTTGTCCTGATCAGCTGGTTGACAGAGGTTAACCTGTTTGGTCATGTCGACAAGGGGAGAAATTGGATCAAGTCCCTGGTTTGAATCTCATCACAGGACTTGGGAAATGCTGCTGCTGCTGCAACTGTTTGTTGTATCCCAGTGGCTTCCCTACATGGACGTGACTGGCGTCATGGTTCTCATCAAACTAACAGTACAAGATCTCAGTATCAGTGTTCTTTATGAAAGTATTCAAATAATTATTAGTATATTTTTAGAAGAGTAAATTGAGGTTGTAGGTCTGAGAGCATTTCTATTTTAATTGCTTAATTTATACACATGATAAATAAACATGACAATCACTTCAGCTTGTAAAATCAGAATCAACTACATATAACTTTGCCATTTTATAATCATTACCTTCATCAATGTGTTATTTATGATAATAAACCGGTTCAATCAGTATGTATCAGAATAAGTGCTGGATAAGTGATGAGTAAGTGTAAAGTCATTGGATAAGTGTTCATTCTTTGATAAAGTCGTGAATGTTTTGTGTACAACTCCATGGTTTCGCTTATTTTGCCATAGTTTCTTATTTTGAGTGTGAGTGGAGGTTGAAGCCTGACATTTCAACATAATGTACATATGTGAAAGTTGATTATATATCTTTGTGCAATAAGAGGAAAATGGCCAGTATGAATGTAGAGAACAGTGCTGTGATGTAGACAATGCTGGGCAATGTCTTGTTATAACTCGGGCAAACCCAGAGTTAGGGATATTTAACCCAGGATGGGGTATATTAACCAAGATGGGGTATATGTAACACGATGTGGGGTATATTTAACCCAGGGTGGGTTATATTTAGCCAGGGTGGGTTATATTCAACCCAGGGTGGGGTATATTCAACTGGATTAGGGCATATTCAACCAAGATGGGGTATATTCAACAAGGATGGGGTATAGTCAACTGGGGTAGGGTATATTCAACCCTGGGTGGGGTATATTCAGGCAAAACCGAGACAGTTCATGGATGTCTTTATATCATTTGGGATGCCAGAATATGTCTGCTCATGTTTGTATGAAAGAAAGTCTTTTGTTTTCTGTGAAGCCAGTCCATATAAGTTTGCATATGGGCCAAGCATGTTGTTTATACACACAAGGGAGGTAACCCATATCACAATGGCGATACATCTTTTAATGACAATCACAGGCAATCAATAACATCTCCTATACCAAGCTTACAGGAAAGGCTATAATGAAATTCTGTACATTCACAAACCAGAAACATACGAAATCTTCAGAAGTTGACTGAAAAGGCTTGACCTACGCTCTGTATGGTATCACACAGCTGGGTGTTGTTTGTCAGTGATGAGATACTGAGGAACATGATACAGTCCTCCATTAGAATTCAGAAATGAAGAAGTTAATCAAGAATATGGCTCACCTGAACATAATTACCCCTTAGGCCAAAAACCATATGTCCGTTTCCTATTACATGCTTTTTAAAAATAGGGTAGGTGGGTCGATTTTATCTTCTATTTTTCTAACTTTTTAAAAAAGTGTTTTAGTAGCACCAGGTGGGCACCTGAGAATATCTTCAAGGATACCATATCATGTTGTTACAATGCCTTGTGATGAAACTTTGAAAGATTTCTACATCAAATCATTGTTTGGATTATTTATTTGCAGGTTTTGTCAGTGAGAGCCCATTATACCAATTCAATGCAACCCATTTTAGCCCTACTTACACTGAAAAACATGAAAATATCATACTTGATTCTGATGAAAATGTTGAGTTGATGAAATGCACTCCAGTCATGTTTTTGACTTGGATGAAAAAACATTTAGGGTTGGGGGTGGGGGTTTAGGATAGGGTCGGTTGGTTATCTGGAAATGGACATATTTTTTTAAGGGGCCTTAGATCATATTTTCTGGCGTGTATACATATTTGTTGGTTAAGAAATGTTGTAAATATTTTGAGAATGTATAAGTATTTTCGTCAGAGTGTGTGTGAAAACTGGAAAACTGCTGCTGATGCCCAAAGCAATATTCACGAGCTCACTGTGGGAGATGTGCTTCGTGATGTCCTGTATTGCTTCATTGTTTGGAATAACAGGTCAAGTCTGTGACGTCATCCATCATTCATGACATCACAAACTGATAACACTGAATCAGTTGAACATTGGGTGGACATCAGTAAAGTCTTTTTGATTTTCTTTATAAAATTCTGAAATTTACATGTTATGTGTCAGTGTGAAGACATGCTGAATGTCACTTTGCAAAGGCTTTTGACAGACATCATTCTGTCACTTGAGAAAAGTTTCGGTCACGGCCTTGAATTATAGAACTGACTTGGAAATAATAATAATGATTTTGTTCCTGACGACATCATGTAATAAGAGATTAATCCACTTCTCAATCTGTTGTTAAACTGTCTTCATAAATATATTGAAGGCACATTTGGGTCCAGTTCAACTCAGTTTTGATCAGTATGACCATTGTCTTAGGAACGTCATGAAAATGCTCAAAGTTTGGTCATAAGTTGAAAATTACATTAGCTTATCCCTAAATGCATACAACTGATTGGTTTTGCTCTAATTACGGGTCCAAAGACCATCAGGATCATATGTCTTAAACAGGGTGCCGTTGTACAAAACAACCTTAGCGTTATGACTACCTTAAGTCTATGTTAAGGTATGGGAGTTACGGTCTCATTAGCACTAACATGGCTTTGTACAATGGCACCATGGTGTATAAAGTGCTAGCAGTCCTCCAACTTCCATGCATGATGGCATCACTGAGAATTCTAAGAGAACACATCCCTATAAGTTTGTATTAGAAATGATGAAAGCAAGCGCTTTGAAATCCATACTTAAGACAATCATTACCAATGCCATGCAGTCAGTGTGTGTTATGTTATTGTATTTGCCATGTATATTATTTAACTTGGTATCAGATACCATGTGGTTTGCTTGGTAGGTAAACACACTGTTTAAGTTGAATATCAAAGATTACTGGTACTCTCTGACCAGAATAAAAGCGAAAATTATTGTCCATTATGTATATTTACAGTGACAAGAAAATTGTAAGGGAGAGAACTTATGGTTGTCAGGTTGTCTATTTTGGGGAACACAATGTCAATTATGACCTGATGAGAAAGTAAGCATATACTCTGAACTGTCGTACTGGTCATATCAAAGAAGCTGACATTTGTAAATTCTCTCCCATATGTGGATCATATCTAAACGCCATTCAAAGCAGAGAAAATTGTAACTATTGGCAAGATTTTACCTTACATTATGTATAAGTTATTTTGTTTCATTTTTTAGAATTAGGATTAAAGTGAAGTCTACGTGTCTATTATAACAACTGAAATATTTTAAGGAAAAGATTTATAATTATCTAAAAACAAGTAATTCGTTCTGCCTTTACAGCTGGATGTAAATAACTATAATGTATATTATTCTGAAATGAGTTTTACAAAATAGTTGTATTAATGATGTATTTATTTATATATTTGCCAGTATTTTGTGTCATGAAATACGTGTATTTGTTTATCAGGGATCATGGCATTATAAAAACAACATTTGTTGACTGGTTACAAGCTTCATGTTTATATTGCTGTAAAATGAAAGAAAACAAGAAAAGAATAAAAATTTGCAAATATATTTGGCAGTGTTTCATTATAACTTGATCGTCACCAGTTGTTGGTCTGTCCACAATTTTTGGATCTGAAAATGTTATATCCAGATCATGAAGAGTCACTCAATGCATTAAGGAGAAATAGTTAAAGCAACATATATATACTCAGCAGCAAAAAAACCGTCAGTACGAATTCAAAATGAGATAGGCACTGTAATCAAATCATTACAAAAATGGACATAATAAGCGGATCAAAAACATTTTTTGTGTACAATATCCTGACAAATCAATGAATAACACAATTTCAAGACATTGCGAAATGTGGACACCGTTCTACTGTAGGATGTCCCCCGTGTAGCTCTGGCAGTATGGGCCGGGCGTTATCATGCTGGAAAATGTTGTTCCGGTGATGTGGGAAATGTGGTATGACGTGGGGTCTGAGAGCTAGGTCGATGTAGGGAACCGCTGTGATGCCGCCTCCTCTCCCTGGTTCTGGAACACCACAGGACCCATGCACTCTCTGGTTCAGGCCTATTCAACCCCATACCATGATGTTTGCACTCCCCATGAGTCTCTTTCCATAACACATAACGCTGGCCACGTTGTCGCCATATTCTTGTTCTGCATCTGCAGTTGATACGCAGTACCGACTCTCATCTGTGAACAGAACAGTTCTCCATTGCCTGTATCGCCAGTTTTGGTGTTGTAGGGCAAACTGTAGACATTCACGCCGATGACGAGGGGGTGAGGATAGGTCCACGGTAAGGTCTACGGCAGTGGAGGTTCCCGCTGTTAAGATGTCGGCGTACTGTATCAGTACTGATTAGTCTTCTGTGTGTTCCCACTGTCGGGCGTGCTGTTTCGGATGCCTGCATGAAGGGATTCTGTACATGCTGTCGCACAACATGGCGGCCTTGTCGTCACCCGTGGTCTGCCAGTATGGGGGCGATCATTTGTGGTGTTGGTGGCCCAGAAACGTTGCTGCAGCCTGTAGATGGTCCGAATGTTGACCTTGAATTGATTGGCAACGGCTTGTGCAGTGTGGCCAGCTTCAAGTCTTCCTAGCGCCTGGTTCCTCTGGGCTGTCGTGAGTCACGGCATCCTGCTGACATTGTAATGTGAATGTTTCAACCAGGTTTGGGGGTGCATTTTTTTTATAGGGCTGGTCCTTGTGAACAGCAGGTGCAGCATGAGTTGCATGAAAAACATGGAGAACACCGTACCATCTCCCATATCAGGCTGCGTTTTTGAGACCCATTTCCTGGGTTCTTTTCTGAGTTTGGGAAGGAATGTCTTTGCTCAGGTAAAGTTGGAGATGTTGTCAAGCATATACAATCAAAACATTAAATGAGTTTACAGTTATCCGTTTCTGCGAAGGAAAATTCCAAACTGATGTTTCTTTTGCTGCTTAGTATATTTGGTAATGGATGTCACACCTAAACGACGGGTAAGCATTTTAACATTTTGTTACCTTGTTAAAAGGGATATGCAGTAAATGAAATATATTCACATAATTCTGTTTGAAAAAATACAAGAAGTTGCCATGATAAATAGCTTTGTATGTAGACAAAATGTGATAAATACTTCTGTAATATTTCACAAAAAAGCTGTACCAATCTTTTTTTATCCTTCTTTTCTCATTGTTTAAAAGAACGAAAACGAATTATTTTGAAGTGTCATTTTCACTTTCTCAATGGTTGAGAAAAAAAGACAGTAAGAACATAAGTTGCTGCCCGTTTTGTTGTGACAACTGCTTTTCCCAGAAGTGAGGTAGAGTTATCTCCCTTGACATGGTCCCAAAGAAATGGCGAATGATTTGATATTTTAGGTGCGCTTTATGAACGTACTTGGTTGCGTATTCTAGCTGTATATTGCGGCGGTAAACAATCGAATCTGGACCAGACAATTCAGTGATCAACATCATGAGCATCGAGCTATCGATTGGGATACGATGATGTGTGTGCCATCGGGTATGCTATTAACAAAGTCAATGAGAAGAGACTTTGGGGGTAATTGAATTGGTACCATTTGTCAGACGCGAAATACATCGTGATTGTTGAGTCATGAGCGTGATCATTAGCGGGCTTGGCGTTATTGAAAAGGTTTGAGCCGAAACTTTTTGAAAATCTCACTCCTGTTTTTGGAGGGTCGACGAATCCGGAACCTGAGGAGTATTTTGTCTTTAAAGCAGAAATATACATCAAAGATGTGACCTAAGTTGTGTTTTTTCCCAAGTTGTGTTAAGTGGTATCCGAGACACCGCCATGTTCCCTGGGGAGGGTTATTGATGTTGTTGAGTGATCGAATGTTGTTTAACGGCGCCGCCAGGGGGCGTTCAAGCTTTATCACGGCCACATCTATTTCCGACACTAATTTAGAAAGTTTGATTCGGGTCGATCGAACAATAGTTTACCGTCTGCTAAATCAGGTTTTATTATCTTCATCAATCCAACAGTTAATGATTACCCTCGTTAGACGAGCGATGTCTGAATACACAGGAGGCAGTCATTACACTGTCTGGACTGGGCCCGACCCTAGAGCAAGCTCCACTAACGCTGCGATAAAATGAACCTCTGTGATCGTTATATACACAGATCACACACACCGGCCACAAACGGTTTCCTGATAAAATGAAATAGACGTGTTACTGACCGACATACAAGTCTTGAAGGACCCTCCTAACGCGTGTGAGACGGTTGGATAGCCTAGTGGTTAAAGCGTTCGCTCGTCACGCCAGAGGCCCGTGTTCGATTCCCCACTTGGGTACAACGTGTGAAGCCCAAAGGCAGCGTAAAACCATACTCACTCACTCACTTAATATCGGGGCGAAAGGGGATTCGAATCTACGATCTTAGGTTCCGCAATCGGCGCGACACTGTGCAACGAATTGTGGTGCCGAAAAAGCCTGGGTCACGAGACCCATGATAGACGTAATAAAAAGGTGCACCCGATCCAGGAAATATTACCTACTACTAGTAGGTCTTTGTTAGCAACTGTTAGCTGCTACTAGCAGTTACAAAGACAGCCTTTCCGGCCCTTGAGACTAACAATTTCTGTTACTACTAGCTAACAGAGACGACGTGAAATATTATGACCATATTAGGCATCACCATATTTCTCATCCCAAGCACGCCATATTGAGGCGAGGCAACACCAGCCACAGAAGGTTGTATAGTTCGTTTATATATAGTTTACACATCATGAAGGACAGTGCCTGATCGAGTTTGTGTGTGTATATGTATATGTATATTTGCGTTCCTGACTGGTATCACTTGCTTGTGCAGATCATTGCAAAATCTATATGATTTACGGATTACCCAGTGTGTATCTAAAATTTACAGTTGTCTAAAGAAGGTGCTCTTTATCATCTTCTCTACTCAGGTCATGCATTACGGGCCACCAACTAATATTAAACAGAAAGTCCATACAGGAATCATGTTGACCCCCGAAAACGCCAGAGCTAACTTAAAAGGTCCTACGCTATTCAGATGAGTTAGCTGGGTTTTACGCCGCTTTTTAGCAATATTCCACCAATATCACGGCAGGGGACACCAGAAATGGGCTTCACACATCGTACCCATGTGGGAAATCGAACTCGGGCCTTCGGCGTGACGAGCCAACGCTTTAACCACTAGGCTACCCCACCAACCCCCCCTGTCCAGTTGACTACTAATTGATAGCACATTAAACGTACGTCGTTGAAACCAGACAGTGCATCGTTTCACATCTAGTTTTCATGGAAACCGATTGGAAACATATTTTATGAATTCAATAAATTTGTGAACGACAACCGTTAGGCTTAAGGCTATGTCGAGATTTGTATTTATTGATGGCTGTTGAATGTGGCTGATTGTTAAAACGCCATTTTCAATCTGGAAATGTAAAAACGTCAATCGTATATAGACATATAAATTTAATACTTAGACGTAGCCTCAATCCATTTCGACTAAGTTAATCTGTATACGAAATCCATATTTTCTTGACTTTCAGCCTTCACTCGATGAGACACGCACCATATTTGACAAAAAGCATGAAATACTCTAGTATAAAATTTGTAAGGCCGAAATGCCCCATTTACAACAAACTGTCATCAGTTCTCCGGGTTGTATTCTCAGTCTCCACAGTGATTAAAAGCTTGTGCACGAAATTAGATTATAATTGTGATTATAATTTCAAACATTAAAAATTGACATTCAGTGTTGGGAAAAATAAGAAACCGTAAGAACAATATTGGGGGCAATGGAAACACGTATTTATGCTGGTAGACAATGAATTTTGAATAAAAGTGGAAGAAATGCCCCTCACCGCCATATGTCGCCGCCATACGCGCTATATAGCTTACAAACGCCCGCTAGTTACCCGAGCTTTGGCATCTTCACGCCGTGCTCACATGGTTCACCAAGAGAGTTGTCAGCAGACGAACCAAGGGAGGCAACGTCCAACGACAGTAACTCCGCTGTGTGCGTGCGTGTGGCTCTGCTTCGTGTACAGCGGTGTGTGGCTTCAACCAGGGATACTCTACAACCTTATATAGTCTCCCTGTTTCAACGAGTCCATAACTTTGGACTCGAGTAGCCTAGTGGCGACAGCTGACTCGTGCTTGAATATATTGAATATTGTCACATTAGTGAAACGATAGTACCTTATGGATTCTATTTATTATAGTGAATACCGAGTTTTTGAGTATTTGTCTGTGGAATTAGATCTGCCTAACTACGACGATACTGGATCTAACATACACTGTACTGGAATCCGAGATGGAGGTTGTGGGCACGCCCATGGAGATACCAAGCTGAATGTAACGCTGGTGGCATATTGCTGGCATTATCAGTACTTCATTCTTTTCAGTTCCACATTCATCTTAAATGGATTTCAGAATGTTAGAAATATTATCTCCTGACTGGCGATCTTCAACGTGAAGAGTAAACCCGTCTCCAGTCAACAAACACAAGTCACAAAGATGGATCCATCCGTCGCATCTCGAATCCACACTTCAGTGGTAAGAGAAGCATGTATGTTACACTAA